TCGGATGGTAGATGGTTGATTAGTCTTCAAATGCGATACTTGCAGGTCGAAATCGAGTCTTTCTTTACGGGTTTACATTGTTTTATATTGCCTTCACAAATAGACATTTTGAAAAGGTTTGTCATTGACCCATTCTGATCTCTATCCATTCGTTGCCTTGATTATATACATATCATTTTGTTTTGGATTTTTCTCTTCCATTGCTCTGCCTCAAATAGAGAAGTTGAATGACTTTGGAAAGAAAATGGAAAAAAGTGATTACGATGCAATGGCAAAGAATATCGAGGAAGAAACTTTCCAGAGGACACGGATGAATACTGCTTTAGGATCACAAGGTATTCGTTTAAGTTTCTTGCTAAATGCGTTAAATTTCTTCTGTGCATCAAGTCAGTTTTGAAGCCCCAGTTCCTCAAAACCTGTTCCCGATGATCGATGTCTAGTGTCATTCATCTGCGTCTAACCTGTCTTGTAGGTACATGGAGTAGACGCGAAGATTTCCAGGAGTTTGACTCCATAAACCTAGAGGACAATAGAACTTCGCGGAAAATGAGCGAAAATTGCCGTGACAATTACAAGACGATCAGTTAGTTCGCTTTCAACAGTTTTGTAGAAATTTCACGGCTTTTTTCAGAGTCAGACAATACCAAAAAAGAAACAACCTTGCTGTGTGCCAAGCTTGGCATCGTCCTTATCTATATTCCACACTATGACATCATGTCGGTGGAGCATGTGAAATCGCTTGCCAATGGTCATCATGAAGCAGTTGATCAGATCATCGAGGAATCCAATCAGTGAGTCACAGTGTTATCGCGACCGCCTTCCAATTCAATCTCAATGTTTGCTAAATCAGATTCTTTGCCAAGTCTGCCCTACTTTCGCTGAAGCATCCACACAACGCAAAGAGTATGTTGGATGAGCTGGATAAGTTATACTCTAAAGATCACCTCAGGTAGGTATTTAGAAGTGTTCTGTATTCTACACAGTCTGTGTTACAGAATTGTCGGTTCATCTGTGGTGTTTCGCTATCAAATGGACAAAAATGCATCTGGTGAACATACGCAAGCGAAGCTGATTTTCCCTAATATCGATGTCATCGAGTATCTCGCTTCAGAAACGAATCCCGTAAGCTGAGGGTTCAGTCGTGATTTCATTTCGATTTACTTGTTTAGCATATACCCCTTCTTGACTTTTCCAAGTTCGAAAATCCTGATCAAGAGCCACAACTGAAGTTCGATTTCAATACTAGGTCCACCATCGTTGACGAAGTGAGCGTATTTTCAGTGTGCCTTCGTTTTGTGCCATCAACCAAGTTTCAGACGAAGACTTTCATTTACCTTGGAAAATGCCGCTGTGAGTTGGATCTCAGCATTGTGGATCGAATAGCTGATTTGTTTGAACCTCGGCCGTTTTTTGATTTGCCATCTTGTAGGCGCTCGAGGTTGGATAGCATCGTTAGGTCGGTTGCATTTCTTCTTTTTCCATATCACTTCCACGCAATGTTCTTCGTATCAGTTCTGCGGAACAGTGTGTTTAGCGGTAGTGATAAACTTTTTGCTTTTTCTATCTTCCGGTCATATAGAAAGGAATCTCTCCAACTTCGCGAGGACTTGTTCAGTCTTCCTGTTGTCGAGCAATCAAGCAAACTAATGATGGTTATCAAAT